TACATATCAACTGATCAAGAGGAAGATAAATTCAACTTAACTTTTTGAATGATTTCTGGAAGATCAATATAACATTCTTCTGAAGCTAGGATCTCAAAAAGTGTTTGTTTTATTTTCCTCTTGAAGGCATTTTTTGAAAGTTTTCTAAAAGATAGAGGCATTTCATTCCATATTTTTGTTCTGATTCTAGAAAATGAATTAACTTGAATTGAGAGTCTGGAACTTTGTACGTAAAAATTAGTAGAGGCAGAGGATTGAGTACTATAAGAATGATTATCAGAGACATCTCAAAAAAGATTTTGAATGTTTCCAGGAGCATTAAAAAAATGCTCAATCCACCAGCCACTTAAACTATCTCATGTTCATTTCCTTAAAACCTGATTTATAAATTTGTCTCTGAAAATTTTACGCAGTAAACAAATGTACCACATTTTTAGCCACAAGATATTAAATTTCATTTGATTGTAATCAAGGCAAAATGTGAGCAGCAATAGTAATTGATATTTTTAGACTAAACAAACTTCCTTATTAGTTTTATATCATGGATCATATTTATCATATACTTTTAGGATACAAATACCACGGTTGCTAGACCTCAAGCACATCCTGACAGAAGTGGTGTTACAGCAATGTCTTTTGGAAGTCATGTTGAAAGCTCTGCTCTGTCCATGAGTAAAGACAGCTTAGAAGAAGGTTGTAATATTATTATACAGTCAAGTACATATATTGTAGTTCAGGAAAAATGCTTTGCTTAGAGGAGGCTCACACTTGAAGTGTGTGCTTTCTAAGTGATTTATTTATCCTTATTAACTTTTAATTGATGATCAATTAAGTCTTCCTTTGCCCATTGTCACAGCACAGTTCTGAGTTTATGGTGTAAACTGGCTACTGTGAAGAGTTTCTGAAGCTGTAGACAACTCATTTGATGAAACTGAGTGATCTTGCACTACCACATACTACCACAGTTTCTTTTAAATTAATAACTTACCCCTCTTACAGTACAAAACTGTTAAATTTAAATACTGATAACCACCCTTATGCTATGAACAGTAAATCCATCCATAAGCTCCCTCAAAGGTGGAGAGCTCTTACCAAGAAAGGTGTGATGTATGAGTGCATTGTCTGACTCATAATTAATTTTAAGCATTTTTGTCTCTGATAGCAGGTCTAGCAAAGTCCATGGAAAAGAGAAAGCCTTCACACGAGGAAATACTCGAGAGGTTTGTTGTTATTGTCTGATCTTCTATTTCTTCTCATGATGTCAGATATTTATTTAAAGCTTTGTTGCAATCCCCTGCTCCTTATTCTGAATGCTGTGTTCTTTGGCACTGTACTTAAAGTCATAAACTATAAGTGAACTGCTGAGGAACAAAAGGTAATGGAATAGCTTCTAAATTGGTGGGGGAAGGGGAGAGGGGATATTTCTGTTTATATATCTCATCAATTTACTGAAAAAGTATCTTCTAACATTTTGAACTGTTGTAGGCTTGGATCAGGAGACGTTGAGGATACTTTAACTAACAGTGGTATGTTTATAAATACTTTTGATACACTCATCTAAAACTCGTGTCAATACTTCATGGTAATTTTTCATATTTATTCATAACTTTCATGTGATTTTGTCTTTTGTAGGTGAACCAAAAACAGGAGTAACTCTTGGTCCATCCTCTCCAGTTCCCCAATCATTTTCTGCTAAACCTACCAGCATGGGACTGGACACCATGAATGAGTTAGCTGATAAGGAAAGATTCTTTGAAGGTATAGAAGGTGGTACATCTTCTGTAGACTACAACAAGAAACTCAAAGAGATATCAACTTCTGAGTCAGTTGATACACAGAATCAGTAAGTAATTTTAACTCATCATTGAGATTATTTAGATCTCAGCATTACTGATTTGCAAGGTCGCTTCTACATATCCCCTCACCTTAAGAACACAACAATTGGGTTCCGTTTTAGTCCTGGGCTTTTGCTTGTCCAATTGCTGCCACAAAGTCTCTGTCCAAAGACATCACATCAACAAGACCTGACATTATAACCAGCTGATTTCCAAAGCTAGGGAAATGTGACTGTTTGGCAACCAGAGTTTATTTTAAATGCTTGTTATAAGAAGGCAACTAAATATAAGTCTTGGTAACATTCTTTATGTAGACCAGTCCTCAAGACACAAGATGTGAAATATATTTTTTGTTTGTTTTGGACTTTTTGGTGACCAAATTGTGCTATCTGGGGATTAAAAATCAAAAACAAAAAAAAAATTGCCACTTAGCGCTGCTGTTAAAGACTTGAATTCCATACACTTATCAAAGAGGGTCACTTGATCCTCTAGGATTGTCAAAGACCATTATTACAAGGTTTAAGCTCTCCAAAGGAGGAGTTATTTATAACTGATCCAAATGAGAAAACAAAAAGGAAAGGTGCATTTTTTTTTTCATGAGAGTTTTTCAATTTTATTTTTTGAATCTCAAGATTGGACAACGAACATCTGCAAGCAACAGGAGCTGAACTTGGTGACTCTATATTCAATATAACAGGTTGGAATACCACTTACTGTGTGCACTAATAATGGTATAGGATTGAGTGGATTCCAATTTGGTTCTTAATCATATAAGTGGTAAACAAAAATGAGACTGCTTTGTGAGAGATAAGTATGATTACATACATCCATACATAGGTTAATTGAACACTCCCCATAGGGGCTTTTCAGGGCCAACACCCACCCATCCCACCCAGGGGAGGACATCCACCACACAGTAATCTCGTGCGTGGGAAATTAACGTCTCCTACCCCTAACCCTGCAGGAGACGGGGCCTACGGTTTATTCGTCCTTATCCGAGAAGACTAGAATATCTATCCATTTCTTGATTATAGAAAGGTAGCAAATTCTCCTCACTTATTTTAAGACCATGAGTATTGGTCTGGCCGGGGCTCGAACCCTCGACCTCCCGCACATCACAATCTGGCGCTCTTACCAGAATTGGACAATACGTAGGTAGTGCTGTGGCCAATTTATTAAACTTTAAAAATTTGAGAAACAAAGCTCCCGTTGGTTAGACTAATTTAATGAATTAAAACAAGAGGTTGAATGTAATAGTCTAGATAACAGCGTTTAAGAATCACTATTACCATCCAATGACAAAAGATTTGTTAACTGTCCTATTGCACTATCAAGTTACAAAGAAGATACATTCACTGTCCAATCAGTGTTCAAAACAGGCTTTCAATGACCAATCCCATTTGAAAGGTTTTTTGATAGTTTTAATAGTGTGAAAATCATTGCTCATGTGATTATGTTACACAGAAAATGCAGACGGTTCTTGGTTTTCCACGTGTATTATTCTTTCAACGATTTTCTCGCTCGGTTCACAAAACCTACGTAACTTCTTTTTCGCACCTCACAAAATCACTCCCTCTCGGTAACCAGGCCTTTTCGCGCAACGCCTGACACTTAACAACCTATGTGATTTCATTACTTAACAATTACATTGTGGGGAGGTGCACACTCTGACTGGTCAAATAAGGCATGATCACTGCATAATCGCCTCACTCTTTGTGGTTTTAATTCTCAAGCTTTAATTTTCAAAACGGCTGCTGTGTAGTTTCTTCTTAAAAGAAAATTGTAATGATATTATTGAGAATATGAAAAAAGTTCTTTGGATTTGATAATGACCGTAACTTAATGAAGAAGCGGTTTTGTCTGTAGAGTCAAACGGGCTGTAAGAAAGACAATTTTTCATCCATTCCCCTAGGAACTTCTGACAAAAGAGACAAAGCTGTTGAAGAGGAAGAGAAGGATGAAGAGAATGGCGGAGATTACAGTGATAACTTTGAAGAAGGACACGAAGAAGTAGACGATGAACATCCTGATGATGAAAACACTGAAAATACTGAACAACCAGCTAGGCCTTCAGCCCCGGTATGATGCAAAGTAAAATATAAAATTTCCATTCAATGAATGAAGAGCTTGTTCGGGAATGTGTAGCGTTTGCTGCACTAGCAGTGGTGCCCTAAGGACAGAAGGTCCTCAATCGTTAAACATGCGTAATATTTTAACTTCCTTTTTAAGGTGGTTGAATATTAAGTGTCTTCCGAACAATATTCAGTTGATTGTCGAAAGTAATCGTAGATTGCATTGGCTTTGCTTTACTTCGCTCTTTGATTGGTTCAGAAAACTCACGCAATCATCTCGGCCAATCAGAAGCGGCAGAACTAAAACTGATCGGCCGCGTTTTCCCGCGCTTTGGGTAGTTTGGTCGGTTTTACTGTAAGTTCTTATTGGCCCTTAAGATTATTTTGCTCTGCTCTGATTGGCCGTTGTGATTACTTTGGTTTTAGTTTTACGAAAGTCAGTAGAAAAGTGCTTTAATCGTAAGGAAAACCCTAAATAATAGTTTGTCAGTGCAATCAAATATTTAAAAGGCATAGAGACTAAAAAACGAACGGGGATGGTGAAGGATGAAAAAGATTGATCTGGATTGCAAATAATGAACTTGAAAAAGCAAGGCTATTTTTTTCTTCGAGAATAGGTTTGCTTTCATGGCTGCATGGACGAGGAATTCTTTTCGTTAACTCTTACAATTTTATTGATATGCAACATGAACATGATTGATAGTGAACATGATTTATTATTTTTGTTTTTCCTTACCTTTAAGGAGCCTGCCGAAGAAGCGAAACCGAGTATGCTGTCTAAAGGTTTGTGCACTTTCAAAATTCAAACAAACTAGTCCTTTCGATTTTGCGAGTCATTGTCAGGGTTGGAGAGGACAGCTGTTAAACAGACTAAAACCATGAAGAAATCATTTGTTAGTCTGGGTAAACACCAAAAAGACGATTTTTGGACAACATTTTTAACATGTTCAAGCCGAGACGTTCGTCATTTAATATAATCAACATTTTGTTTTAAAACAAATCTGAAGCGAAAAGCAGTTTTCGGTGGGTTATCTAATGTGATCTAGGATCTTACTGGTTAATGCTCACTGCGTTTTTTGATTGGATAGGAGAATTCGTGCCACCATCTCGCCCAATCAGATGCAAGACTAAAACCAATGGCTACTTGGTCACTCGCGTTTTCCCCGCGATTTAAGCAGTGTGGTTGATTTACTTCAAGTTCTGATTGGCTGCTTGTGTTCTTTTCATTTGTTTTGATTGGCTGCTGGAATAAATTTGGTCGAGTAATGGCGTAATAACGAAGGTTAAGGATATGATCAATAATTGAATTCCTAGCATGTCTGTCGATATTAATAATAATTTATCATTTGATCATTTCATATTCCCCTTGTGAGTTTTGAATTTGAAAAATATCACCTATTGACCCCTGCCGAAATTATTCACCACACTCTTATAAAAAAGTTTTTTTTTTTTTTGTTTAGTGTCGTTGATGGAATCTTTAGATTCTACGTTGGAAACCAAGAGACCCGCTGCAGCGCTTAATCTTCTATCACAACAAAAACAACGTCAAGTTGGCTTCTCTTCTGAAGGTTCGTATAAGATACTGAGAAATCTTGAATTGAATTTCTAAGGTCATTCAGGATTGTATTGGTTTGCTTTACTTGGCTTTGTGCTTGGTCTGGAAACTTCCTGTTACCCTCTCAACCAATGAAACGCTTAAACACGAAGGCGCGCTATATAAGGAAGTCTTCCCTGGGAAGACCTTGGCTCATTTGTCACTCAGCGTTGACGTGTGCGGGTCAAATTCAAATGCTGGTTGACAAACAAAAGGAGCTACTGAGATATCTATTGTTTACTTCCACCAGCATGGTGGCTATGAGATAACGTGCGAACCACCGACTTCGATCTCAAATTTACCGCCACAAATAAAGACAGTTTCCATTGGAGAAAGGAAATACAAATCTCAAAAATTCTTGTATTGTGATGAAGACATAAAACAATTTTGAGGAATGCGCCCGCTGTTCACTGCTTTGGAGTTGCTGTAGCTCAAGCTGACTTGACTCTAAGAGTTCTACATCACACGACGGTTGATTGACAAATGGTCCAGTGGGACCTAAGGCTCCTTTTATAGCGCGCCATCGCATTTAACCCTCTATGCCGTAAGAGTTTCTCCTTACAGCATCACTGCCGCGTCAAGCATTAAGGTCACGAGAATAACGAAGATGATCACAAACTAAAGAAGTTTGTGATTGTCAAACAAATTCTCCTTGACATTACCATAGGAAATGTAAAGAAAACAGCGTGGAATATGGATACTGATGTCAGCCCATCATTTATCAGCAACTTTCGTTTGATTTCCCTTTTCCTTGTTTGGCTTCCTCCGTAGATTAGACAGTAGCAATATCCTTAATCGTTTTAAATTGATGATAGACTTTTTCACAACTCACCTTTAATTTCATATGTAGAGGCTTCTGCAGGCCTGGAAATTAAATTTAAAATTTGATTCGATTTGCTTTTTTTCTTCAGGATTTAAGCAGAGCCCGACATCTAAAAATGATAGCCAAACATCTTTGTTGAAGACCGGACCTGATTACGAGGCGAGTGGAAGCACAACAGACATTCATGAATTGCAAGCTGCGCTACAAGCTGCCCAGCTAACTGCGACTGGTACAGGCTCCAAATACTCAGGTACTCAGCAAGATAGTCAAATAGAAGCCTACTTAACAGACTGGGACAGAGCATACCACCTAGATTACAAGCTTGTGTTGTTTCTGGTGTAGTAGTCTCGGGAGTACATATCTCTCGCCTTTACTTTGGTTTTTCTTTGCACTTTTCTTCCTTTTGTGGAAGAGCCCCGGATGTCTATGCACAAAAACATTTTGCAATTAAAAGCTTTTGCGTAGTTCGTCAATGTGTGTATTAATAATGCTGTTAACTTTTATCTCCGAGAATGTCCATTTTTAAATGTGTTATTGAGTGTATTTTATCAGTTATGAACCTTTGAAGGCTTGAACACAACGTTTTATCGGGTTTCTTTCGCCCTAACAGTGCCAAGTATTCTGTAGATTTATTTTGAGAAATTGTCATTTTAACTTATGCGAGTCTAGCTGTTTCCAGGCTTTCGATCATTAGAGACGAACGAAATAGCAGTAAGTGAATTCCGGCGGGGGTCTGGAAAAAATTGGCCGAGGTGAAGCGATTTTCTTTCGCTCGTTCCCGCAAACTTACTGCCTGGAATAAGCTGACTAAAGTGGCGCATTTTTCCCCCGTATGACGCTTTAGTTGTAGTACTTGTTTCTTTGTTTTATCCACTTGGGTTGCAACAGAATCGGGTGATACGTGTTAAACAGCGTAACTATCAAACCATTTACAGGTAATTTCGATCTTCCACCGTCTGGTGCAGCGACACAGAGTGTGGACCAGCCGGATGAACGGCAGATCATCATCGAAAAAAACGAACAAGGGGCAACACGTTCTCGGGGTTTCGACCTACAACCGGTTGTGGTGACAGATGACTGGGTTTCTGCCAAATACAATGGAATCATACCTAGCCAAGAAAAACTCAGTTCTATAAACGAAGAAAGAAGTTTTGGATTGAAGCCCGTGCGGGCAGAAGGCGATCGTAAAGCAAGCTTTGAGTCTAGTTTCGAGTCATCCGATGCAGGAACTGTGGCAGGCACTGTGTCAGGCACAGTGGATCAACGTAGTCTTGATTTGGCTCCAGCGCTTGGCGGGTATACCGAAGAAGGGCGGGGATTTGATTTACAGCCCGTTGGCGAGGCAGCTGGCTTCAGTCTGCAGCCATCACCCCAGGTGAGAGGCTTCGACTTATTATCTGCAGTTGCTGCTTCGCCCGGGGTAATGGTAGGGGGTCAAGAGTATGATGTACAGCCAGCATCAGAGTCAAGGGGTCTAGACCTTAGCCCTGCGGTCAGCAACTCGTACGGAATTACTCAGGATGGGCGTGGATATGACCTGCAACCGGCAGATGAAAGGAGTGGCTTCAGCTTACAGCCTGTCGTGAACTTAATGCAAGCGGAAAAGGAAACACAGGAGGACGACGATGATGATGATGACACTCCTCCCCCGGAAAGCTTACAGAGTATTAAGAGTATAGCACGAGCTAGGAAAAGCGCAGGAGGGAATAGTCTCAAGAAGAGCGCAGAGATGAGTGTCTCGGATAAAAAAGCGTCAAAGACCGCTAAAAAGAAGCCAGGCAAGAAAACAACACCTGTTGAAAAATCCCAGCAGAAGAAGGAAAAGGGAAAGGCGTCCGGCGGTCATGCAGACAAGAGCAATCTTTTTAAGCCCTCGCCTTCGTCTGGTCCATCCTGGTCGCCTACGCCCACCATGAGAAGCACTAAAACGAAGGTGAGTCTTGCAAAGGTACTAAAGATACTAAACTTACAACGAAAATTGTAGTGTAAATTTTGATCGTATAAACGCGTCTTCCGCGATACAAGCGTTGTTTCACAAAGCATTGACTTAATAGGACCCCCTATGCATCGAAGACTGATTAATTAAAAGGTTTGTAAGGTATCGTGATATATATCGTTACTGTAAACTTACTCCGAACCGGGAGCTCTGACATTTTGCTGTTACAGATCTCGATCATATAAATATTTCGCTGTCTTATTGTATAATGTCGCACTTGACACAAGCAGATCTTCGTTTTTCACTAAAATGCTCTAAATCAGATTTCCCACAAAAAACTCTTTAAATTGGCTTGCATTACTTGTGCGTCACTCTCTTTCGTTATATTCTCCAGACCAAGAAATCGTATGGTGCGAGTAAAAAGCTGCCTGTTGAAAGCCCTGCTGCTTCCAAACCGACTAACACAAGTCCTTCCGCCAAACAACTGGCTGCTTCCGTCGAATCATTTGCAAACTACTTGAAACATATTGTCCGACCCGGAAATGACGACACTCAGGCACCACCGGCAAGGTGGTCGGACGACGAGCCCGCCAAATCGGTGTCGCGAACATCCTTCCGGAGACTGTCCGACGAACACCGACTGTCCCGCGAAAGGGCATTGCATGCGGAGGTGGAGAATTGGCAACTTGCATGGAAGGACGAGAAGAAGAGAAACGACAAACTGATTGCGGATATGGCTTCGCGTGAGAAGGAGTGGTCACGAACAGAGGAAAGGTGTCGTCTTGAATATGAAAGTCAGATTCACGAGCTCAAACAAGAGCTGTTCGTTATGCAGTCAAAGCTTAACGAGACCGAGAAAGAAGCTAACGTGAGGAAAAGAGTAGCGGCTGGGGGGAAGCTCGAGGTTAGTTATGCAGAACTTCTTCACAAAGTACCATGCATTATTGATTTTAACTGCTTGAAGTTTGCCGTTCTTACAAAGGAAAAATTTGCTTTGGTTAGCTTCTAAATACCCTCCTTGATTGGTCAGGCGAAACCCACGCCACTTACTAACTCAACCAATCAGATGCTAATCCTATCCCGTTTATAACTTAGTTATACGCGTTCGATTCCTTTAGCGTACTTCATTCCTTAAAGGCTTTTCCTGATATTTGTCTGGTAAGTCTGAAGTGGGCTTTACGACACCCAATCGTTAATGTTTGAAAAGCGTCATGAAATTACTTTCCAACGCTCCTTTTATAGAAAAACTTATGCTTTCTAGGACGAAGATCGCGTGAATTTTCCTGCCGAAAAAAGACGCTGCTCGTTTGCGCGTTAGAGTCCTTGTCCTTAGCAGTACTGTTTCGCACCTTGAAGTTGATACGTTCTCATTTTTCTTATTTTTTGTCTCCCCATTAATGTAATGTTAGGTTAAGAAGACCGCGTCTGTCTTATTCTATCTCACCAGGTTGCTTCCGAGGAGGATATGAAAAGGTTGGAGAAGGAGGTTAGGGAACAAGATCAACTTTTAACAGGATATCAACAAGAAAATGAACGGCTTTATAAAGAACTCAAACAAATACAGGCCAAAGAGAAGGCAAGCGAGGCTAGGATGTTCAGTGAAAACCAAAAGCTGGGTATGAAGAATTTAAGATTGTCGATGCGCCTGCTTTTTTAGTTGAGTTGTTAAAGGTTTGTTTCTTCTGTCTTGCATTCGAGTTTGTGGGTTGGGGGGGGGGGGAGAGAGGGAGCGAAGGTCAAAGCTGGGTCACATGTTAATCAGAGTAAATGAGTAAGATGGTTAACCGGGGTTTTTTATGTTGGAACTTACCAGGTATACCAGGCGCGGTGGCTTATCTCTTTGCCTTTAATATTTGTGCCGTTACGAATGAACCCGCTGTTGAAAATCTCAGATAAAAGTAAAGGGAGATCTTGTGGAATTGTTCCAAACATTTTCCTTTACCTGCTTTCTTGATAGCTTACCCTCCCCTCCTCCCTTCAAACAGTATGGCCTTTCCTTTAGTGAGGACTACACTAAATGACCATGTGTTTATTTCTTACACAAACATTATGCTAATAAATCCAGGACGACATTGCCAGTTGACAGACTGTCCTCAAGAAGGAGATATGATCATCCATGAGCTGAAACGAAAAACAAAAGGACCATTAGGAATAATGAGAAAATCGATAGCTGGCAGAAACAATGACGCCATGACGACCTAAGACAAAAAGTCACAAAAACAACGGCCATACACTCGGACTAGGCCAACGT